AATGATCTTTCTGAGAGACCTGGCTGGAGTGTGACGGAGAGACCGTGTGAGGAAGGATGGCCAGGCAGAGAGAAGGCAGAGACAAAGCTTGACATGTTCAAGGACCACCAAGAAGATCAAGGTGAAGGGAGGGAGCAGACTGAATATTAGATGAGATCAGAGGAAAAACATCAGCTAGAGGCCCCATCACCTAGATAGACCAGGCCCAGCGAACGTTTTCCACAAAGGCCTGCACAGAAAAGAGTTCCACTTTCGTGGACTAGATGTTCTCAACTCTGCCACTCAGTGCAAAGTCCACCACAGAGAACATGGAGCAAAGGACGAGCAAGGCTGTGCCCAACAGAACTCTAATTATTGTCACCGACCCTTCCATTTGATGTGGTTTTTACATGTCACCGATGAGTCTTCTCTGGACTTTCCCCCCAAGCATTAAAAAACTAAAAACTACTCATAGCTGATGGGTTATTAAAAAAATAAAAAAAACAGGCAATGAGTCAGACCAATGGGCCATCAGAAGAACTTTAGATATCTGTTCTACTAAAAATTCATTGGAAAGTTTTTGGGAAAGAGGCATTGGCTAAAGATCATCTTTTATTTATTTTAAGGTCATTCTGGCTACTATGGTGAGGAAGGATGAGGGTAGGAGAAAGATCAGTGAGATTACTATAATCATCTGGGCTAGTCAGCATGGACTAATTCATAGACACACTCATGTGTATAAGAAAGACGTTTATATGCAAGAGTAATTGAACATTGAGAAAACAACCCAGCCCAGTCCAGATCAAGTCCGTTAGTCCGATATTAGCCCCTATGTCCAATACCAATCTAAAAAGTCCTTTTCAGACTCACGAAACACATGCAATGACGCCAAATGCAGGAAGATCACAGGCCAGTAGGTGGGGAGTCTTGTGGATCCAGGGGCATTGTAAGCATCTCAGTGCTGGCAGGGGTCTCCATGTGGCTCCTCTAGTTTTCAGGGCATGGTGTCTATCAGCATAGTGCCATGTGTCTTGTCAGTAGAGCGTCTCTCAGGGAATCAGTCAAGAGAGAGTGTGTCTCCTGCCTCCAAGAAGGAAATACAGGAGTTCCCAGAATCCTCAGGAGAAGGCCATGCCCACACAAAGGGCTTATTGGCTATGACCCAATTGACAGACTAGACTCCACCCCTTCACTCTTAATCTTCTCAAGTCCCAAATCAACACCAGGTTACGTAACTACCACATCATCTAGATGAGAGAGAAGTCAAGTTGTGGTGATCAGAAATGGCTGGTTTTACAGGTAAGCACGCAGGATTTGCTGGTGAGAGGAAGAAAGGACTATAGGGTGTCTCCTAGGCCGATGCCCTGAGTAGTGGTGGTGCAGATGGACAAGACTGAGAGAGGTGGAAATTGAGAAGTGGGATTCCTCAACCATTACGGTCTACCCGGGTTCACTGATAACTCCAGGGCCACCGGGCAGCTCTGTGCATTGTGAGGAAAAAGCTGCTTACGGTGGCCACAGCCTTAGTATCCCTCACAAAATCTTTGTCAGCCCCAGGAGAACGAATGGCACACACTAGCTGCCTGCCCTCGCCCTTCTGTGCCACAGTGCTGTGGCTTAAGGCCATCATGTTCTTACCCTGCCCTCGGGTCCTGGGGAATATAGCTGGAGTCAGATGCAGGCCTCGTGCCCCGCGGTTCCTGGGCTTCCATTGCTTTGTTTGAGAGAGATGAACTTTGTGATCTCTTAGCCCCTTAGAAATGTGAGCCAGATTGGAAAAGTGGCTGACTCCAGGCCACAGAGAGCAAGAGCGTGAGGCCAGGACTCAAGGGAACTAGGACACAAGGCTCTCTGACCTGGCCAGTGGAGATCCTTCTATAACTATATGCAGCGAAAATGTTTTTAATCCTATAAAACTAAAACCAAATTCACTGCTATCAAGTTGATTCTGACTCATAGCGACCCTGTAGGACTGCCCTTGTGAGTTTCTGAGACTGTAACTCTTTATGAGTTGTGTTAATCCGGGTAGACTAGAGGAACAAATTCATACACTCGTATGTGCATAAGAAAGAGATTTATATACAAGAGCAATTGACTATTAAGAAAACATCCTAGGAGTGGGGAGGGGGGGGAAATGAGCTGGTACCGAGGGCTCAATAGAAAGTAACTGTCTAGAAGAGAATGAGGGCAACATATGTACAAACATGCCTGATTCAATTGATGTATGGATTGTGATAAGAGTTGTACGAGCCCCCAAT